AACTATATGCTTTCATGCTACACACAGATGCTAATGAACTTATTAGCATTAGTACAACTGCTCCTTTACTACTGCTGCGACCAACAAAATAATGTTGGTAACTTCGTAGGTCTCATGTCTTTAGATCCACCGCGGAGGCCAACTCCTCAGCAAGGAAAGCAGATATTGGCTGTCCTAAAAGTCGCTAATGACGCCATCGTCTTCATGGGTAATGCGCATGCTCAGACATCGTTTTATTCGTTTTCATGTCAACGTAAATACTTCCCGTCTACACAGCAATCGTTTTAACGAAACTATGCGTATACAGTCAAGAGCGTTTCCGTGTAAATGTACCCTAATTTACCACGTTGCAGTTCCTGAATCTGACCACCTGAGGGCAGCAAACCTCATGCCCAAGTAGGGGCTTTTTATGAATTGTATGGGCTGTCACAGTCAACTGATAAATCATGCATTATACATTTATTATCTAATATTAAATTACCTCTGTGCAACGCAGAGTTGGTATTTCTAACTGTGACCGTTAGAAAATGATTAAAAGCATTTTGCAAGTTCCTAACAACACTCTGCTTTGTTGCCAGAAGTGACACAAGAAAGTAAACAGAGGAGTTGTCTGTTGAATCAGGGAATTGAGAGAATTGTGATTAAAATACATGTTGCTTTTAATGCATACTGAGGGACAGCTGCATGACACTGGTGCAAATAACAATAGAGGTAAATTGTAAATGCCGTGTCTTAATTTTATGTGCCACCTGCAAGTAGCGTACAGTAGCTAGCAGCTAATTATCCAGCGTTAGCAAGTATATGTGTTGTTGGTGTCTGTTACTGTTACAGTTGAAGGTCATTGCTGTTGTTTTCACCGCACAGGTCGATGTGTTGAGTTAAACTGCTACAATGATTTAGACTCATTTAACTGACAGGTAGTTAGCATGCATTAGCAGCTGTTTGTCCATTGGTTGTAGCAGCTAGCCGTTAGCTCTGAAATGAATGACGAACCAAGCTGCAGGTCAGTGTCGGTGGTCCGTGTATATTGCGGCCATTG